ACAAAAATGTAGAGGGAGAGGGAATTTTAAAAAGCAGGCAAAGTTAGCTGACCAATGGAAAAATAACAGGCATATTAATATTAAACAGTAGTGTGTAATACAAAAAGCATTACTAGACATAAGGAGTCACCACACAGAGTAAAAATTCCAATTCAACAGCAATATATAATAAACTCAAATTTCATGTACTAGCAACAATTTTTAAATAATTATAAAAATTGTAGAGAAGCTACAAAGAAAACTGAGAAAAAAACTCTAGTAAAAGATTAACATACATCTGCTCTCTAGACAAAATAAAGATAAAAGATCTGAACAGCAGAATTAACAAGCTTAACTACTGGACATATATAAAACTTTGCACCAACAACTGAAAAATAAACATTCTCTTCAAATAGGTAAAAAATGACCACACACAGTGTCAACAGATTTCAAAGGATTGTACCATACCGATCATCGTGCCCAACCACAACACAGTTACAGGTCAGTAACCAAATTAACTAAAGGAACTCCCGTATGTTTTGAAATAAAACTTTTAAATAACTCATAAATTGAAGAATTCACCCCTATGTGATGCAGGGAAGGCAAATACATAGAGTTAGTGATCTTGAATGCCTGTCAAAATACTGAAAATTCATAAGCAAGGTGTTCAACTTAAGAAATCAGAAAAACAATAGAAATAAACCCAAAGGAAGTATAAAGGAAAGAAATAAAAAGCAGAAATTAATTAAATGGGGAAAAGGGGCGGGGAATACACTGAAGAGCACTAAAAAAAAACTTAGTTCTTTGAAAAGTTTTGAAAAAGTGGGACTTTTAGCTTTTAAAACTCATCAAGAAAAAGGCATCTTGAAAAAGATAAAAAAGACATTAACTACAGGTATTACAAAATAAGACATTAACAACTTAATTCAAGAACATGGATGAAATGGACAGCTGTCTATAAAAGTATAACCTAACAAAATTGATTTGAAAATTGAAAATATGAGCAATCCTATAACCAAAGCAATGGAATCAGTGATTATGAAGTGACTCACAAAGAAAATAACAGTAACAATTCTACAAGGGAATTCTACCACTCAAGAAACAGATCTTTCTAACCTTAAATAAACCCCTTCAGAAGAAAGAGGAAAAGTATATATTTTTTAAATTATAGATCAATATTATTCATTATTAGAGGCAAAAGTCCTATTTTAACTTGATTCAAACTGAGTCAAGTAATGAAAAAAAGGGTCAGACCAGGGTTGACTTTATACTTGGGAACACAAGGTTGATTTAAGTATTAGAAAATCAGTCAATGTATTTCACTGTGTTAACTAACAGGTTACAGAAGAAAAACATGTGATCCTCTCAAAAGACGCAGAAAAAGCTTTTAATAAAAATCAACATCCACTATTTTTTTTAAGTTAGCAAACTAGTAATAGAAAAGCACATCCTTAACCTGAAAAGGTTATCTACAATAAACCTACAGCAAGCATCATACTTAACTGTGAAACTCTGAAAGCATTCCCTTTAAAATCAGGAACAAGATCAGGATGCCCCCATCACCGCTTGTATTCAACATTGTACTGGAGATCCTAGCCAGCACATTAAGACAAGAAAAAGAAAGAAAGAAAACAAAGCATAAGAATTGGAAAGGAGGAAACAAAGAGGTCATTATTCACAGATAGTTCTGTCTACACAGAAAATCCAAAAGAACTCTACAGACAATTTATCACAATTAGAAGGACAGCAAGATTGTTACACAAAGTCAAATTGTACTTTTATATATGAGCAAGGTAGAAAATATAATTTCAAAAGATACTTTTTTGACACAAAAATAAGGTACCTAGAAGTAAGCCTAACAAAATATTTACAATAGTTTAGCTGAAGAAAATTATAAAACTTTACTGAAAGACATTGCAAAAGACCTAAATAAATGGATATTATGTTTATGATTAAGAAATTTAACAACAAAATGTTAGTAGTCTTCAACCTGTTTACAAATTCAATTTCCCATCAAAGTTCCAACAGGTCGTGTGTCTGTGTGTATCTACATAATTTTTTTAAATGGTTCTAGAATTATACAGAGGAGAAAATCGCCATGATGAAGGCAGGAGGAC